AGGTGGGAGGTGGGGACGGGGAGCCGGGAGCCGGGGCCGGGCGGGAGGGTGTCTTGCAGGGCGCGTGGTGCGCGTCGCTGGGGCGGCGGGATGTTTCGGTGCCTCTCTCCGGATTAAACGCTTTCCGAAGCTGTCCGGCAGGCTGAGCCCCTCCGTGTGAAGGGCTACGCGGCCTCCCAGCGCCGTGCCGGGAGGAAAACGCCGGGTTTTATTCGCCGCCGGTGCCTTCCCCTGCCCGGCGCCGGGGGGAGAGCAGCCTCTCTGCTAGGGAGCCGGAGCGCGGGGACCTCGTTGCTGCCGAGTCCGCTCCGTTTCTTCCTCCTTTTACAACAAACTGCGGGGCACGACAGATCAATGCATTCCTCTTATGCCTGTGGTAGGCATTCCCGTTGTGTTGTGTTTTGTTTTGTTTTTTAATTCTAAATTAGGCTCTTTCTAACGCAGATTTCCATTGTTGCTGAGCTCTGCTTTTGGGTAAGCTTACAGGCGTGCAAAATCAAGACCGAAAAGAGTTCAGAATGTTAAATGTAGAGTCTGCAAGACACATGGAGAATCGCGGTTAACGTGGTGGTGATTGTAATTCTTTCGCTGTTGCTTCCAGGTACTTAACAACAGCAAAAAAATGAATGTTTTCCCATCATGTCTCTCCGTGCAGTAGCTCTAGCCAGCTACAGCAGAACAGAAGTCTTCAAGCACCCCCACTCTAGAAAGGTAAGGCGAGGAAGGCATCTGAATGTTGGCTCAGTGTTTTCGTTAGCTGGGGGGACTTTTTTCAAAAAACAGCTTTTAGTTGTCAGTGGTTGTGGTAAATATTTTTAAATGCTGGCGGTTTCATTACGGAGTTAATTTTGGAAATACAGTCCCAATATTGGGGGGGGGAAAGGCTGACTCATGCTGTGAAAAATGTCCAACTGTCAGTGGTTTTTAGTAGTTACGGCAGCGTGTTGTACTTTTAATGCATGTCTGTTGTCATATTTCCTTATAAGTGCTCTTTAATCGCTTTTTTCTTTTTTTTTCTTTTTTAGTTTGATAGTTAAATACTAAAGGAGCTCTTTTTCCCAATCTGTGATATAGTTGAAATTGTAACATCTTGAAAGTAAATGGAAATCTTTTATCCTAATTCTCAGAACACCGGTTGCTTCTGATAAGATCTAAGAGATGGGAGGGTTGTTTAAAAAAAGATAAAATCTTAAAGCTTAGCACTCTTAATATTTACGCTTACTGATAAAGTACTTGCATTCACCCTGGTGTCAGGCAGTTGTGATACTTGCATCCTAAGAGGTAGTCTGTTAATTGCTGATATTGAAGACTATTTTTCTTTTAAATAAAAGTAATTAATAAAAAATGAGTTCCTGTGAGAACTACTTTATCCAGTAATATCGACAATATGATATTTATATGTATAAAGCCTGCCTACGCGATGATTTCTCCAAATTAGTGCAGGGGGAAAAAGAAAGCACTATCAGATACAGAAAAGAGTATTTTTCTAAGCACTGGCATAATCAAACACTAAATATTTGAAATTCAGCATCCTATTTTTGGCCCGAAATATTCTTCTTCAGTTAAAAGGGAAATTCTATGTGGGTTTTAATTTCTTCTGCTTTCCGTGAGTCTGAAGGGTATCTGGACTAGATCTGCTCTCTGAGTCACCTCGCTGTCCCACGGGACCACATGGGGAACGTAGAGGTCAACACAGGGTGGCAGAGGACAACACACCTTTTAACTTCCTTCTGTTTGTATGGGATCACAGGGTGCAGGGGAGGGCGAGAGGCACCCTGGGGATATTTCTGTGTGGAGACATCTCTCTGATGTCTGTGAGTGGGGAGAAGGCACGAGGTACACCTTGGTTAAGTGCCTTTTAACGATGCGCCCGTCGGAGCAGCGCACCCCTTTGATTTCCGTGGTTTCTGTGATGTGCTCTGCAGGTCCGTGACATACTTGAGGCAGTGGAGAGGGAGCAGGAGACGAATGTGTGACCCTCACAGGAATTTGTGAGCTTGGGGAGGAGACCTGTTGCTTTGCTGTCCTGAGTGTATCTTACTCCCTGGCTGGAATTAGCCCCTCAGTATCTGCGCTAAACTGCTTGCCCTGGTTCAGCTTACGCTGGTTTGACAATATGGTAAATCCGGCTTTGGGGTTTGAAATACCAAATTGGAAGCGTCATGACTGCACAAAGTGAAATGCTGATCTGGTATAAACCTGCTCAGTCAGTTCAGATGCAGTCAAAATTTTTGTCAGCTTATACTAGCAGGCTGTATGCCAGGTCAAGTCTTATCTATTTGTGTTGCTTCTTGCTTTATGCTGGGCCAACCACATTACTGACGTGAACCACATGTACTATGTTCTATCAAATTAGGCAGACGTAATTATGTGACTATGCTTGCTCCCAGTTGATGATACAGCTGGGAGACCAAGCAGCACATGCATCAGGTGCTTGTGGAGTTGGGGCCTCATAGATTTAGCTCACAGCTTGTATACATCTAAACAGGCTCATGCTTCCAGCTACAGATGGGTGGTTCCTTGAATTGTTTTCCACTTCATTGCTGTTGTTTGACAGATACATAGATATCTGATTCAGCATTTTGTCTCGTATATGCTTTATGCACATGTTTAATTCTCCTACCGTGGAGAGTGTCTTTTGGTCACCTGCCTTCTGGAGTGAAATGCAAGATGCAGAGTTGGGATGCCAGTGCGCTTCAGACGGTGCATGCTTCTGGGGAGATTGTCAGACAACCAGAAATATAGGCACTGGTTAGGTGACTGTTGGCAGGCGTTAGCACGGTGTTCCTCCTACTGGGATGACTGAGACAGGGGGTATCATTACCAGAGTACGGTTGTCTTATAATCAAATTGTCTGCCCGTGTGTTCTTGTTCTAGTTAAACCACGAAGGCCTAAAGGTGGCTTTCACCGAGTCAGTGTATTCTTCAAATCCCTCAGCGAGGATTAGCTGCCTTGCTCCGACACCTCAAATCTCCGTTCTCTCAGGTATGCCAATTTGTTCTAAAATGCCTCCCTCTGGGGAGCTTTGCTGGTGCATGTACTGCTAGCAAAAGCTGTCGATGTTTGTGTGTACTAAACAAGTATAGTCTGGTTGGAGAGGGAACCTTGCTTATTGGCTTTGAAGATGGGACAACATCAAAGTATATTATACAGTTTGAAAGTACAGGGGGTTTTTGCCTTTTAAATGGTAGTTTGGCCATTTTAGTTATGCTGGCATTTTGAGTGCTCGAGTGAAATACTTGAACTGCTCAGATGATTCTTGGCAGGTTAACTCCTTGTTCATTCAAGAAATAGTTTCTCAGATTTTAACAGATTACCATAATTACTCACATGAGTATCAGTTGCAAAACTGAACTTGAGGGGGTTTTTTGTTTGGTTTTCTTATTGGAACTAACCTATTTCTGGTAGTAGCTTAAAATGTGGGGTTTGGTTTGTTTGGGTTTTTTTGTTGGTGGTGTGTGTTTTGTTTTTTTTTTTTTAAGCTTGGCAGAGCAGAAGCATGAGTTAAATTTTTAAAACTTGTTCTTTTTTCTCTTACAATCTACTAAGAACAAGTATTTAGCAGAGTAAGTCAGCATGGTTATATGATTAGTACTAGAGATGCTCCATGATGCTGGAGTAGTGGAGATGACGAAGGATGAGAGGGGACGGAAAGGCTGTTGGGATGAGCTTTGCAGTAGGAGAGCAGAACAGTTGAAAACAGTAAGACTAAATGTTTTGTCTTGCACAGAAAAGATGCTGTTTTCAGCCCTGGTTAAGGTATTCCCGTGCAATTGACATATCAATAGTTACCAAAATTGCTTTCTTTTCCTGAAAAGATTAAAATATGTTTGTTTGAAAGTCAGCTAGCTTTTATTTTCCCATTCCTGGCCTTACGCTGCCGTGGCTGGCTATGTTAGCAAGGTGTTTCTTTGCAAGTGCAGCCAGTAAAATGTGCAGTTTTGGTGCTATTTCTGCAAGAGCTTTGTCGTGGTAAGTGGGAGGTGGCTGGTCCCAATCACTGAGCTCTTCAGCTAATTTTGACCTGGCTTTACTAGGACAGCATTGCTAGCAGCTCTTGCAGTATAGCTTATACGTGATGTTCTTTAATACTTTTTTCGGCTTTCTCTTGATGAGGACTGCTTTTTATATAGACTTGTTTTTCCAAAGTACATGGGGGTTTTTGTTTTGGTTTTGATCCCTTCATTAGTAAACTTTCTTATCATGCAGTTTGAGCGCCTGCTGGCTTCCAGGTGAGTGACTTGTGGAGAGGTTTACTGTTTTCCACTGAGATATGTCCAAGGAGAGTAACCTCCGGGCAAAGTCTGCAGTCTGCAAGACTTGCTGCTTTTTTCACCAGTGTTGTTTAACATTCCTCGTGGTCCTAACTAAGAGTTCTTTGCCCTGGAAATGGATCTTCTTGATTGTGTCTATTCTTAGAATTTTACAACCGACTTATCTTCCCCAAAGGAGACGGTCGTTAACTTCATTGTCACGATGTGGTTGATAGTTTCTTCTTGAACATAGACTTTGTGTCTAATCTGTCCATTGCCTGGGTGATGGCAGTTCCTGTGAGGCTTTTTGTTCAAGGTATAGGACTTCAATTTATTCTTGAATAGCTACTGGTTGCAGTGCACACTTCTGCATCACGCTACTGTTGCCATGTTCGCCACTAAAAGCGGTATTCCCATTTTCTATTGAACTGTAGTTTTGCAGTAGATCATGTAGGACCTTGGCAGGCAGTATTTTTGATTCCTTCAGAGGCATTATAATGAACTCGCTGTGACAGAACTAATTTTCTTTATGGGTTCACGTAAATGTTGCCACCCTTATGAATAATGGACTGAAGGTTACTTTAGCCTTTTCCTCATGAGGAGGAGTGTCTGACCGAACTGAAACACACAAGCATGTGACCTTTTATTAGTAAGTGTATATTTTTTTTCTTCCTGCTGTATTGGTACTCCCTATGTCTTGCTATAATGTGACCTTCTCTTTTACTGGCAATAGAACCAGTACCTGTACCGGCAACTGTACCTCATCCAGTTTTGTAGAACAATGATGTTTTTGAGCACACTGACAATCAGTCACCATTAAAGTCCTAACTAATTGTGTTTGGCTAGCAGCAGCATACTTTACTGTTGGTTTATTACCTAGCCTTATCAACGACAGAATTGCTTCCTGACTGCAGAAAGCAAGAGCTTTCTTGCAGGAAGAGGCAGCAGAGTGTGGTGCGTGAAGTCAGTTCTTCCCTTTCTTCTCGCCCATGTTAAACATAATTGCATTTTATTCATGTTATAAATTAAATTTTTTTTTTTTTTTTTTTTGTTTAGGATTGTTTCCTAACCTCTTGGTTTCTTCCCTTTTCTGAACAGACGAATACTCAAGGCCAGCAGTGATTGGACATGCCAGAAGTTTTGGATCGTACCCAGACAGTGCTGAAGCTATCAAAGACATTCTCGTGTCTGTTTTAAATGCATCTGGTTTGAAGCCCTCTTTGGTGCTGGAGCAGACCAGAATGCAGGGAGCTGAGCATCTGGACAGTGATGTGGAACGGTGGGAAGAAAGCAGCGATGGGGATAGCCATGACGACAGTGACAGTGATTCTGCACATCACAACACTGCCTGTACGCAAACAGACATTCGGTTTACAAGGCACCGGGCATGTTGGGACAACACGTGCTGCGATTCCTCTAAACCTTCGCTGGATACTTTCTTTTGTCCCCGTTACTCTGACGGCGATCCTGCTGCTTCCTCCTTGAATGGTTTCGCTCTTTTGGACGTGTCCCCTCTGAAGCGTGACTGCTTTACGCAGGTGACGTTAACAGGAGGCACTGTCACATCAGCTGTTGTGTGTTCTGGAAAAGAACGTTATACCTCCCCTGAACGAGACTTGACTTTCACAAGGTTTCTTCCTGATTCAACTGTTGGTAAGACAGCAGATCTGTTGAAATACCCTGATGCTTTAGAGCCTGCACCCGTCAGCAGCAGTGACAGCAATTCTCCCAGTGGACTTTCCCAGTCGGAGCCAGTCAATCGAACAGGTAACTATACAGGTCCTTTTTTTTTTTTTTTTTTTTTAAGATTTCTGTGCTAGGAAAGAGAACTGTAGTTGAAATGGGCCTTGTTTATGGTGATTACAAATTAGACAAATGCTGTAATTCAAAATAGGAGAGGGGAGAGAAAGAGCTTAAAAATGAAGGAGAAACAGAGGGTTGGACTCGGTGAAACGGGAGACACTTATGCTTGCAGTAGTCGTCTGTCTTATGACACAGAAGTGCTTCTGTAATATGCAACCTTTGGTAAAATGTAAAAATTGCTGAGCTGTAAGCAATGTAGAACATCCACTGGATGAGGCTTCCACGATCTTTGTCTTGTCCTCACTGTTACCCTTCTCCCAAAAGCAGATAGCGTGGATCTGGGCATTTGGTAGTGATTCATGAGTGTGTGTGGGCTCCCTAGGACATCTCCTTGTGTTTGACGTGAGCTGGAGGAGAGGGAGACCTTTGATTCTGGGGTTTTGGAGGCAGGGCATTGACATCCATTCTTGTTATGACTCAATTGGCTTGTGCCAGAGCGGGACTATTCTTCCTCTTCCCCTTTCCAAGCGCACCTGCCATCTCAGAGACACATAGCCCCATCCGATGCAGATCAGGATCTTTTTACCCCTCACCAGTTTCTGCCCGTATGGATATCCCGCATGTTGTCTGTGAAGAAACGCAGACTGAGGGCTGCTGGCAAAGGGTGCCTCTCCTGTTCCTGCACTGGCAAGGGGCTCAGGGCAGCACAGGTCTGTAGGTGAGGACCTGTTCAGGTGGGATGTTCAGCACAGTGCCTCCAAGATGGCTGGCGGAGCGGCTGGCCTGGCCTCAGGGCTGCGTGTGCCTCTGGGAGGTGCGCCAGCCTTCCTGGGCTGCAGGCCAGGGTCCCTGCTCCTCGTCTGGGACAGCAGAACAATCCCCTCATGTTTAATACCTAATGTTGATACGAACAGCCTTTGTTACAGTGAGATGAAGCATTTTTATTTTATTCATAAAGGGTGTTACAGGTATCTAAGGGCTTATTCTTACTAGATACTGAGCCCTGGAAAGATGGTGCAACCGAGTCCTGATTTTCTACTGGAAAGAAGGTGAGCAGCAGGGAGCACTCAGCCTGCCTTTGTATTATAAATAAAAATGGCAAAGGCTGTTTTGTTTTGGTTTTTGTTTTTTTGTGTTTTGTTGTTTTTTTTTTTTCTTTTCTTCCTTTGGTCAATAGTAGTCCTAGTGGTGACACTCCATTGAGCTCTACTTCCAAGCTCTGGTCCTTCCTAGCTATTCACCAAGAGCTCCTCCAAGGCCTCAAAACAGCAGAGAGATCTCAAATAGGCATGTGCTGTTGCAGGACTGGGAGCTTTTAACAGTAATAACTCTGTCATCTGGGATAGGATGTTGTCAACAGTTAGTATGGTGATGATTATGGTTGTTTCCTTCTGCTGAGTGTTTTGGCCCTGTGTGTTTGAGAGGTGCCCGTCAGGGAGAAGGAAACCACACCCGGTGGTTGGAGCTGGCTGGGGCCAGTCGTGCAGGTTTGGGTAGCCGGGTCTGGAAAAAACAGCCCAGGCTCTCGGTGTCAGCAGCGACCACGAAGCACGTGTGTAAAGAACAAATAAATCATGTGTGACTCGATCTTCTGGCACGAGGAGGACGTGTCACAAGCTTGTGTTGGGTCAGTAACGCTGCTGGCTCTCCAGAAAGCAAATGGAGGAATACGGCAGTCAGGTGACTGAAGAAATAGCATCCTTGATTTTACTAACAAATACTTCTCACGGAACCTGGGATCCTGTTAGACACTGTGCAACGTGGTGGGCTCTGTCTGCATTAGACTGTGGTCTGTTCTGTACAAAGTGAAAACTTCTGCATTTCATCGTTCCTTGTTGCTTCCAGCCATTTAACTTGCCACTGGGTAGCCTGGGGTGGGGGGTGTGAGGTCTCATTCTCCCCTGCATTGTGCAGGACTATGAGGATGGGAAAAGCAAATGGCAAACTGAAAAAGAAGAAATAAAATGCCTAATTTGAAGGCAGGAATTACACAAGAGCATCTCCTGACTTGCCATCCTTTCCATTGCTGTCTCAGAGGTGGTGGTTTCTCAGTTTCGTTTCTTGCAAGAGAATTGGTGAGGGATGCACAAGACATAAGAAAATGACGTAAGATGACTTAAATCAGAATAATTTTTTTCAGTGGGATTTTCTGCTGGTCCTGCGAGACTCCTGTAAGGACTTGTTCATACTTTTAAGGGCTATTCTCTGGTGGCCTCATGCAACCTTCTGAAAAGGCTCCGTCATTGTTAATGAAGAGCCTGTGACTGAATTTGGTGTTTTCTGGGGGCTTTGTTGTGGCTGGTGTGTCACTGGCAGTTCACAGGGCTTGTTCTTGCTTTTAACCTTGGTGTGCACCAAGGTTGCTTCCTTTTGCCACTCTTGAGGGCTGTTCCCCAGCCGCAGCAGCCTCCAGGCAACAGTGCTCAGGAGCAGAAGGGCAACCAGATTATTTTTTGCATCAGACCCAGAGTTGCGTCCCATTGCTGGATGTGCTGGGCTCCTTCCCCTTGCTCCTTTGCACTTTACTTTTTTTTTCACTTAAAGATGCAAGAGAGGAAGCCCCCATTAGATTTCAAAATGATATATAAGATGAATTGCATCTTACATTTTAAAGAGAAGGGAATAATTTTCCCATTGCCTTATTTCTGCTTATTTTTAGTTCAGAGAGTAATGTTTGTTATCTTAACTGATGGGAATGTAGGCTTTTACCAAGCTGTAGAGCTTTTAGCGCTTACCTGTACTCCCTGCACACTGCTTATCCAGTAAGATGAATTATCAAATAGGGATGAAAATAACCTAATTAGGTGATTAAATCTGTTTTGAAAAGTCAGATCGTCAGCCTTTCCATTTTTCCTCCATGGTATACACAACGGAGGTATTAATAATTCTGTACAAAAACACTACATCTGTCTCACTGTGCTCGAGCACAGTATTGACTTTCCAGCCTGATGTCACTGATTCTCAGGGAAGCATGACATGGTTTCTATAAATAAGGCAATGCAAAGAATCTAAACTAGGCCTGAGAGTCAGTGCCCTTTAGCTGGATAAAAAGTTTTCATAAATTATTCTCATGTTTTGTGGGACCTCTTTATCCTTTCTGTGACTTTTAAACAAATTTAGGAGTGGCATTTTTTTTTTTTTAACAAAGAGCCATTGATTAAGCCCTGTTATCTGTAATGGCTTTAAATGCAATGTGTGGTGGTAGCATTTAGATATGGTCTGTTTTGTCCTGTAAACATCACCACAGTGAAACAGAGAAATCGCTTGGTTATAAGGCCAAAGAAGAAGTAGTAAACAAGCGCCAGTCAGTGTTTGAAAAAAACAACAAAGCAAACAAAAAAAAACACAAACAAAACCTAAAAAACAACCAGGAGCCATTTCCTTTCATATCTCATTAGTGTGTACATCCACAGACATGAAATATAATCTTCGTCATCCTTCCAGCAAATTTCTTGTAGCAGTAGTTGTGAGTGCTTTGAAAACAAAACATGAGGGCATGATCTCACACCTTCAATTCTCTGGGGAAGAAGATTGTGACTATATATATATTTATATATAAAAAGCAATCCATGGTACATCTATAGAAAACCAGATGCGTGCCCTGCTGCACAGTGAAAAGTTCTTAACGGGGAAAAAGAGATGAATTTTGTTTCACATGCTCATCATACTCAGCAGCAAATGCCAGGAAAACAAAACAGCTGTTCTAGGAAGCAGGGAGTACTGCGGCTAATGCGTCTGCCCCAGTTGTACGTATTACCATGCAGTATGGGTTGCATTTGGAAACAGGAAGGAGATTTTCTTGAGATACAGAAACAAAATGGCAAAGCTTTTTCCAAACTGGCTGTAGTCACACAATACCAGCAGCGATTCAGGGAATCTTTTAAGGCTGATGCATCTCTCTGGATGCCCAGACAGCAGTGAGATTTCTTTTTCTTCCAGCTATTGTGAATGAGCAGAGAGCAGTGTTAGCTGGCTGTGTTGCAAACTGCAGAGCATCACTGTAATCCCAGCCCAAGGTTCTGGCTGTGACGGTCCCCAACAGCTCAGGCTGTAGCTCATAGCTGGGAGAGGGCTGGTGTTGGGAGCACGGTGGTGCTGTCACCGCACGGCATTTAAACTGTGTTTCCCCGGTAGTTCATACTCATGCTTCAGGCTGCCAGGGGTAGTTCAAATGCCAACGTGTTCCTCACATCTCTCTCCTTCTCCTTAACTTCCACCACAACCTCCAGCCCTAACGGCGTTCAGTTTTGGGAAAGAAAGTTTGCTTTGCTTTCTGGAAATCACCCTGCACACATCCTGGGAGCTGCAGAGGAAGAAATAACTAATAAAAGTTCTTGTTACACCCACAGGTTCTACTTCTCCTTTGAACATAAGTGCTATACCCTTGAATCGTTCGTTGCAGGACATCTGCATGCTTCCAGAAGATGTGGAGAAGGTGAGGACAACAAAGACTATTGTCATAATGTTTTTTCCATTTTATAGTGGCAAAACCAAATGACAGGAGGCGTTTCTCAATAACACAACTTTCTGATAGATGGACTAATCTTTACAAATACTGTATTTTCCCTCTTCTTCCCCTCTGTGGGTGAACCTACAAACCTAAAATGCCTATTTCTTCATTTATTTTTACTCTTAATACATTAATTAAATATTTTAATTTTTTTAAAATAATGGAAATATTTTAGAACACTATACATTTCCACTTTTCATTCCATCATTTTCCCACACGTTCCTTGAGACCAAACTTTAAGATTATTATAGTCATTTTAAAGCTACGTTAGAATATGTTATGTAGAATTTGTTGCAGCTACATGCATATAGATGGGATTTACCTCATGCTTTTACTATCGGGAGATAGGGAGAGGTTGGGGTTTTTGTGTGTGCTTATGATGAGCATGTGAGCTTGCTGTAAAGGAATTACAATATGAATAACAAGCACAGTAACTGTAACATCTGCAGTAATTTAAGCGGTTTCTCATGGTTTCTAATTTGCCTAAGGGGTCCAAATGGTCTTAGGTGTGTTGCCAGGTGGGCAGCCCATTTGAGCTTATAAACAGAGATAAATACGAGAAGATAATGCTGTCACACATAACGCTGTGTGCTAAATGTTCATCTTTTCTAACAATTGGAAAAGAGGGGTTAATGTTATAATTAGTTATTGCAATGAGTAGGATTTAATACAAAAGAGCTTTAAAAATGTGCCTAGAAAAGGGGATTTTTTTTTTTTGCTGGACTGTGGATGTGCACGTGGTCCCATGTCCTGGGCCCAAGAGGTAATCATCTTTGTGCATAGCACTGGTTTTACTGGAGTGGCAAGTTCTGCGTTTGATTTGAAGCTCTCAGCGTCCCTGAGGTGCATTTAAAAAAAAAAAAAAACCAAACCAAAACCCACCAATAAATCACACATCAAAACCCAACAAACTTGTGAACTAGCTTTTCATGTTGCTTTTTGTGAAAGATGTTTCAGAAAGGAGGTGATGTTTCTCCGTCTGTAATGTGGGAACCAAAACCGAAGTAATTTGCTTTCAGTCACCAGGAGACCAGTGAGTAGATATCTGGATTAGAAACCACAGTCTGAGAACTATTGAGTGAGGCAAGATCGCAACAGCTACTTCTCCTGTGCAGATGATTGGGGGCTGATGCGATTACAGGTTAAAAGATATCAAGAACTCGGTCCATTATGACTGAGGCTGCCTTTAAAAAAACTAAACTAAACCCAAACCAAAAACATTTTCAGGTTGTGAAATAATCTCTTTGAAACTTAGGAGACTGAAAACTAAGGTACTTGTGGTGTCAGCAAGTCTTGAGAGTTGTAGTTGTGTGCCAGGAAGGAGATGGGTCAGATATTCTAGGGGAACTTTCCACTAATGCGAGTGGGAGGGAAGAGAAATAAGAAGGTTGGTGTCACAGCTGAGTTGGGACCGCTTCCTAGCGTGACGGACCTCGCAGGAGGCAGAGCTGAAAGCTGATAGAGTCATGCTGAGTACCGGAGTGCCTGTATCCTGTTCCATCTATTTGCAACTCTCAGATACGCTCATAATTGTTTTTATCAGCAGGATATGCTGATGTGCTGTGCTCTGCCACTAACTTGGGGTTAACCACTGCCACACAGGCTTTTTGAATCTTCAGAGTAGATGTCCTCTTTATCTCCCAAAAGCAAAAAGGCTGTTTAATTTTTTCCTTTGCTAATGGTGTATCCTGAAGTTCACTGAAAGTTGTCTTTGGAGAAACTGTGCACCAAGCAAGTGATGTTAGTTATTGTTAGGGAAAAGATAAGTCTGTTCAAACACCTACAAGGACTTGTGGGCTCTTTCTAACGTTGAGATTAATCTCTTTTGAATGTGTTTGGCTGTGGACAATAAGAAAGCAGTGATGTCTGTTGTAGTCCTTAAGATTTAGCTATTTCTAAACACTCATGTCTTTCTCCATGCTTTCCGTACAGGTTGTAGGGGATGTCACAAATACAGATGTGAGTGGTACAATTTTCTGAGCATAAGCAACTTTTTAGAAAGCTTTAATTATTCTGCACTCAGAATCTCTAGCCTTAGGTACTGCCATGGTAATTTAGGCAGAGGTTTAGCCTTGCACAGTGCAAACAGATGCAGTTGAGGGGAGAGGGGGAGAGTATCCTGGGCATCTCATGAGTGTCCACCCACGCACCTGAGAGCACCTAACCCTTCACGATGCATCCACTTTTGAACTGAGCCTGGGCTAGGAGGCTGTGCCCAGGCCAGCAGCAGTAGCACAGGTGGGGCTGGTGGGATGCTCTGTTAGACCACAGGAAGCAGGGGATACAGCAGTGGTATTGGGGCAGAGAGCTCCAGGTTTGTCTGGATGTCTCAGTGGTGCCAGAGGTGGCTTTACAAATTCCCTTTTCCCGGAAGATGGGTGATCCAGGCAGGCAAGATGGTAAGGGACACCATGGGGAGGGGTTGTCTGGTGGGGAAATGCCACAGTGAAGCTTTAAAATGACTACTTTTTATTTAAGGCAGCGTGAACACCAGGGGAGCTAGGTTCCTACTTACCCATATCACACTTTCTGTGCAGCTTTGAGTTGACCATGTAAGCTATCTCACTGCATATTCCCTACTTCACTGCCCTAACACATGAAAGGATTTTACTAGCTTCTGTGCTACCCACCACCTGAAAATCCCTTCAAAACCTGCCTCTTCTGGCCCCATCCAAGTTAGCATGCATGCAAAACTGCTTATACACACTGACTTGAAATTAAATCCTATTAAATAGTTTACATGGATTCACATTTGCATACTAAATAATGCGGTGTAACTAGAAGACTATGTCCCTAAAATGCATACATATTCATCAATCAGGCATGTAATCAAGTTTGGTTTTATCTAATAGATGGGTAAGATAAAAGTAAATTGTATGTTTTAATCAAGGGTGAGGCAATTATCTGGGCAGTTGCCTTTTGCATGTTGTCTCTGAATTGCCCTTGGGGTGGTTTTTTTGTGTTTAAATGAAAGGTGAGATAGCCTTACATTTTCATTTCTTGAGTTGAAAAAGTATGGGGAAAAATTATATATTTCACTTCATCTTAAGTAAAGATTAAATATGCTGTGTAAAGATTAAATATGCTGTGTACTAATGAGTGTTCCAATCTTGCGTCCAGGAAAACGCACACTTTTTTGTTGCAGATATGATTATAGCATCACTAGAAAAAATGAAGTGTAATATCCTAAGCCAACAAGCAGAGTCCTGGAGTGTGGAGGAAACAAGTGGATCAGATGGCAGCTGTCACACTGATTCGGAGTTATCTTCTTACCCTGGAGTGAAGAAGTCTGATTCTTCCGTTGCCTCTTCAGACAGTGGTTATGAAGGCAAGCTACTTAGTCTATAACGCAACCTTGTCTAACAGCCTTTGCCATTTATTTTTGTGCAAGAAAATACTAAAATAATTTGAGCATTGCTTGGAACCAAATCCTCTGTCACCTTCTTTGAGTCTTTCAACAGAGCTGCCTTCCCTCAGGATCATTATGCCACAAGTGTTTTCCCTGTGGGTCAAATTCTTCCTTTTGAATGCTCACATCTGTGTTTTGTTGGTTTTTTTTTTTTCCCCCCTCTTTTACATGAAAAAGAAAATGTAAGGTTGAAGCACCACATGCCAAGCACAACTCTCCATAGAGCGTGCCTGTAGTTGGCTGGTTTTCTCTCTGCTTAAATCTTTTTTTGCAGGACTTGAAGCCTGGCTCTTTCCTTCTGTGCTTCTGCAGCATGCAGATCGGGCCACGCAACTGATTTGAGTGAAACTGCCCAGAGTATTAATTCACATATAGTTTTGAGGCAAGATAATAAATGCTGCTGGCACTATAATGCTTGAGTCAGCACATGCATTTTCAAGTAGATTTTAGTCTTGAGTAATACGGATCTTGGGGATGGAACTTAAGTCTAAAGTCTAAATGACATAACTTGTGGGGAAAAATGGATGGTGTGCTTGCACGTGAGAAGGGGAGAGACCACTGATAATATAAAACCTTTTGGTTTAGTCTGTAGAAGCTTCTTCCTAAGAAACTGAGGGACATGCTGTATGACAGACTCCCAAGAATTGGCTTTCTGTGTGTGTGTGTATAAAAATAAATAAATAAAATTGCTCTGTAAATACAGGCTGCGTGCTAAAGTTTTGGTAAGTGAAGAAAAATGTAAATATAATTGTAGCTACTCTATAAATGCTGGAAGGGTTTAACTGGTGGTGTCTTTGTTCGGACAGGCTGTGCTCCGCTGCCTGTCAGCTCCCCAGTGCATCTACCATCACATCATGAGGTTACCAGATTTCGTTACCACAGTGACTCAGAGGATGAATATGTAATTATTGGTAAGACTTTAAAATTATAACTGCACAAATAGCTCTATTGTTCATCTGAATCTATTGCATCGTTTGGCTTAGTAGATGTTATCGCAGGAGAAATAACATGAGAAAATGGAAAGAGCGATGTATGCATGACTCTTTATTAGAAGATTATTATTAGAATTTTTTCTAATATTATTAGAAGAATACCAGTGTGGTGCAGGATTTCCTGTCTACAAAATAATACATTTGCTGGTTTGAGGGACTGAAATTATGCCTAAGGATTAAACCCAATGAATGTGGGTGAGCAAAGTGTGAAACTGGCACAGCCTCAGCCAATTATAGCAGCATTGTTTGAGAGAATTTAGGACATGGTCATTTCCTAATTAAAGAGGTTGATTAGGTTTTAGGCAGCCCTCCCTCTGCTTCAGGACTAGAGCAGACTGTCCCCTTATAGTCACCAGTGCCCTGCTTCTTTTCAGGACATCCTGAGTTTCTTTGGTTACCTTCTGATTTTTACATATACAGAAACCCTTAAAAGTAGCCTGAGCAACATTTAACCTCTATCTTATTTTTTCCTGTTAACAAATGCTTTTTTTTATCGCTCCCTTTGGTTTTAGAGATTCGCTTATTTTTTCACCTCCTCTTTTCCTAATCTAAGAATGAAGAACTAGCTCCCAAAACTGCATTTCTAGTAGCAAGAGTTATTTTGACGTGTATGAATGGGGAAGCATTTGTTTTCACAACAATATGTGTGGCCAAAACTAATGCTACCAATGTGAACACCTTGTCTGCACAAGCATATTTTGTCTATATAAACATAATGAAGAAGTGTGTGCTTTAATTCCATTCATCTCACCTGTTACTAACTTGCTTATAGTGTTAGCTGGCACGTTTGTGATCGGTGTCTCCAAATATCTGTCAGTGTCTGAAAAAATTAATGTGCACTCTATTGGTTCTGTATATTATCATTTGCGTCTAGTGCTTTCTGGCTGGACCTGGACTAGCAGGCACTTAGTCTCTTCTTACCAATTTTCCTGCTCTTGAACGGAGGCTGATGGTGATGATATGATGCATAGCTGTTAGGGAGTACTCTTCATCAGTGGATGTCAGAGATCTGCAGAGGAGATAAGATTCCTTATGCCTGTGTTACAACCAGGGCTGAGGTTATTTCCCACATCCAGCAAGGGTGTTGTAAAGATGAATATATTTGAAACTGACACTGTGGTAACACAGAAAGTAGATTTAAAACAGCGCTGAGTAACAGAAGCTTTGTTTCTTAGACGGCTTGATAAAATTTTCTCCTTTACCGCAGAACTTGAAGACCTTGAAAATCTGTCTGTCGCCCCAGATGAAAGGTAATGCTGTGTATCTTTACTATAATAGCCCGGTGGCACTACCTTTTCTGTTGACCAGCTTTCTGGTGACTCTTCTTGCCAGGGCAGGGAAAGATGTGGGAGTGGTAAATTTGGTCCTCCCAAGGAAGGGAAAGGAATGCTGCTTGACAGCAAATGTCTGTGGCGCTTGGCCTAGTAGAGCGTTTCTCTGGTCCTGGAGTCTCGCTGGAGGGTGGTGGCTGTGGCTCTGCAAAGGCCTGGGTGTATCAAAGCAAAGGGATAGGAATGAAGGGATGGGAGAAAACTTTTCAGGGATGCAGAAGAGGCAGCGGAGCTGCTGATGACATGCTGCTATTTTTCACTGTCTGTATTGCTTAACTTTCAGATCATCTTTTGAACCAGGCAGCAATTCTGCTGAAGCAACAGCCCAGGAGTTGTGCAGAGCTTTCAGAAAACACTGGTTGCAGACAGACTGTGCAGTTCAACTGTCTGGTTGCCTGAGCTCATCTAAGCAGAGAGTGAGTCTGAGCCGAAAACAGCGGGCTCTTTATTTGGTTCCCCAAATAATCATTGTCTCACTGCAGCTGCTTCACTGTTAGGGAAAGGAGGAAGCTGCATTTAAAAAAAAAAAAAAGAAAATAAATACAGACGAGTACTTACAGCTTATTAGTTCACTTTAGATAAATTTTTAGAAAATTTCTTCTCTCTTTAGCAATTTTCAGCACATCTAAGATGTGCAGTTGTGAACAATCAGGATGTACTTTCTTATTGGACTGATAGAAGGGAGTTTAACTGAGAGGGGGACTACATGCAGGTGAAAACTGAACTTTAAAATCCTGGACTATGAAGGGAGACATTTCATAGCATTTAACATACATCCAGCTGATGGGCTGTTCATCTTCACGAGTTTGTCTTTCCCAATAGTCTGAGCTGAAAGAAGAGATTCCAAGAGAGCTTGAGTCCAGTTTGAATCTGGCTGAAGAAATAAAGATCATATCCAAATTAAGAGGATCTTCTGGCTGGTCCCCACCAAGATCGCAGATTATATTTAATATTCACCCTTCAATCAAGTAAGTCTAAGGGATCTGAGCGTTGTCGTTTAGTACAGCATGGGGATTTGTCTAAAACCTGCTGAAGTTGATGGAAAGAGCCTGGGTGATTTAACAGAACCTAAGGTTAGAGCTAGTGCGTGGTGCAGCCTTCTGCAGTGGCTGTCACCAGCTTCGCTAGAAAGCAGATTGTATCTTTTTCCCTCTGATGGCACGTCCTGATTGACGTGGCGTGTGCACTTTTACATGTGATAATACACATACCGTTTGGTGTTACGGTGGCAGCGTGCTTAGCTGGACTCTTAAAAATTTCATTTTGTGAGACTACCTGGAGAATATTTTTAAGAGTTTCCCCGCTAATATTTTATGGGGAGTAGGTTTTCAGAAAGGGGGGAGAAAACAGTGTGTGTTTGGGGAAACTGCTGTCTCACTCTGCATAAAGTGCTGTTAAATGCACACAGCAGGCAAACTGGCTAATTCCCTGTGTTGTTGCAGGTCCAGTTGCTTTTTCAGTTGCAGATGTGGATTTCCCCCTCCCCCTTGATATTGATGCCACCTTAAGAAATGGAAAATAAATTAATTCTTGCAACAAGCTATATTTAGAAGCAGTAATTGATGGTATATTCTCCACAGAATAGCTTAGAGACTCACTAAAATAATAATGTGCATCTTCTTCCAGAACCCCCTTCTTCATGTGGAGGAGTAGAAGTCAGCTCCTAATTTGGGCATTTTCAGTGGTGCCAGTGTAGCTCTCTTGCACTTTGGGAGAACGTTAACTAAACTGTGTTTTGGATGCTGAAAGGTGTAACTATTTACCTCTGTATGCAGGAGAGATGCAGTGGTGGCTGCCCAGAACTTCACGTGTGTTGGTTGTGGAACCCCAATAGAAAGCAGTAAGTATTACCAAAAGGGAAAAAACCTAATAAATCCATTAGTAGTAATCAGGCTATAATCTTCAGCAACATAGGTGTACCACAATTGTAAAATTATCTGAGCTAGAAGGAAAATATCATTGTTGGATGTGCCTGCAATAATAAAATGGGCAGCGGGATCCTACCACTGCCTGGAATTTCTCATTGCAGACAGAATACAATACTTGATAGATGTCCTTCTCATACACAGTAAAAATTCATGACAGTCAACAACAAAACAGGAAAAGCTATTAAAAAATCAAGCTTCCAGGCTGGAAAGTGCTGGTTTTACATCTTCTAATGGTTTCTTTCAATAATTCTTTCTCTGTGCCAATTTACACATTTCCAAAAGTCTCTTTTTAGAGACTTTATGGAAGCTTTATGCAAGCTTATGGAATGTGTGGGTTTGCTCTTTTGGGGTGTCTTTTTAAAACCTTCTTTTCTTTAAATCTTGATCACAAAATCCTGCTTGTGTTTTATTTGTGATACTTTGTGAGAACTGCTTGAAATCATGACGATTTACAGGTCTGACAACCAGACCTTACCTAAGAAATCTTTGAAGTGGCTTTCAAGACTTGTTCTGGGTCTGCTCACACAAGAGCAGCATTTGTGATGGCCTGTAAAGTATCAACAATCTGTGATGGGACATTAATTTGAGCAAACCTGAGATGCTGAGGTAGCTGGGAAAAACCCACAAACCTCTCTATATGAAAAAGTAGTATGCAAATGTGACTCCAAGATCAGCTTGTCTTTCCATTTGGTGGAAGAATTTTGTTGCGTGTTTTATCTTGTGTCTTTTTTGCAGGTAGAGCAACAATGGTTTCTCTAAGATCTCATGGTGATAAACATAATCAGTTCAGTCTGACAAATGTGGAAGTGAGGAAAGCTTTCTCTTCTAATGCAAAGTACAGACCTTGTACTTGTGTTTACCACAATAATAAAACCCTGTACTTAAAATAAAAAAAATTCTTTGCCCCTCACTCCAGTAGATCTGAGTTATTTAGACAGAATAGGCATACAGACAAGAGATACATCCCATAAATATTCACAACTTCATTGCTATCTGCCTGCAGAATATATCAGGAGACTCCGCTATTGTGACTACCTGGGGAAATACTTTTGTGACTGCTGCCACAGCTATGCCCAGTCTTCCATTCCTGCCCGAATACTGATGAAGTGGGACTTCAAAAAATACTACGTATGCAACTTCTCCAAACACCTTCTGGACAGCATATGGCAGCACCCAGTTTTTAATGTGTTGTGTATTAACAAAGCCCTCTACGTGAAAAGTAAAGAAATGGACAGGGTGAAGGTAAGTGTGGCCTTTTTTTTATTGGAATTTGTGGGTCTGAGACTTTTGGGAAGAACTCCTTAGGGCAGGTTGTCCTTTGCCATGTGTGTATGTGGGAAGGAGGCAGAGTTGGTTTCTCCGCACTTAGACTTCTCCCATCACCGCTTCTGGGACTTGCCCTCTCTCCTCACAGATGAAGGGGCAGGAGGGAGAAGTTCCCAACCTATGCCAGAGGTCTCATTTCCCTCTTTGTCTTTGGGAGGCGTTTCCTTATTGGTTTCCAGTTTTAGTTCATGGGGGGCAGCTGGGCTCCTGCAGTAAATATTTACCTCCGCTTGGCAATTGGCTGCTGGAAAGCTCTGGAAGTTTTGAATGACTCCTTAATTTTGTGGGCCATTAGAGAACTTGGCTCATCTAAGGGCTGTACCTCCTACAGCTTGAGGAAGGGTGCTCTGCCGAAGATTACAAGTTGCCGTGCACTCCCTTCTTGGCTGAGGAGACACTTACCTGTTCTTACATAGGTTTGGGTCTAGCATCTTGGTGTGCTGACATGGAGCTGTCTGTAGCATTAGGAATTGCTTCCCTTGACAGTGAATAAAAGTAGCCTTTGCCTTCCTTGGCCTTTCGTGCGTTAGAAAATCCATTTGTTCAATTCTGTGCTGAGTGTGAAGTTCCTATTTTTAGGTGTGGCTTGATGTACTGGCAAGGGTTGCTGACTCAAATAGTGGTGTTCCTCACTTATGATTATATAAATGCAATTGCTTTTCATTTAAAATTGTTTTGGTTTTCCCCTTCATCTTTTAGGAGGCGCAAGAACAGCTTTTTCATTTAAAAAAGCTTTTGAAAACCTGCAGGTTTGGTGAAAGGTATGGGCCATGATCATGCATGAAAAATAGCTTAATAAAATGTACCTAAGGTGTTTATGGAGCCTTCTTTTCTAGAGACATTTGAGTGCAGTTTTATGAGTTAATATGATCATTAGAGAAAATTCTGATAACAACGCTTCCTTCTATTGCACTGCAAATGTTGAGTGAAGAACAGGTTTTATGTGGTGGCTTTCTGTTTCTTGTAACATACTTAGACATTCGGTTTTAAAAGTTGAATGATTTTTGTTAGGTGTGCATTTTTTCCTACTCTGTCTCTTAGGTTCTCACTCATTCTTAAAAGGTCAAAGATACTTATGTATATCTCTGAGATGATTTGTCTTTAAAAAAAAAAAACAAACCTAAAAAAATTAACAAATGTGTTCCTTGAGAGTTTAAAGATTTCTTCCAGAAATCTGTCATAATGCTCGATTCAGTTTATTTTATAAACATACTCAGATGAAAGTAGTAACCAAAAGTGATAAATACCAAAACATGACCTTGCTTGTTGCTGCAAATTAAAGATTTTTAGTATTCACCTTCCCAAACTATGGGCATAACTAATAGGTAGACATGTGAATGATAAAACCTTCACTGCAGAACTGCTGACCTCTTTAAAAACAGACATAAACAAAACAAGCTTTAAAAGTAAGTTCTGTTCTCTCTTTGACATGGACCTCTTTTATGCATCAATTACACGTTGTTCACTAAAATTAAATAGAAATGTATTTTAATGTCTCTTTTCTGGATGACCACCTGTGATTCCATTATAGAAATAAGCATTAGGATCCTCACTGTACCTTCTACATCAGTGATATTTTAAAAGTAATAGCTATATTTTCAGTGTTCACCCGCTCAGTACAAGCATAGTTTCACCCAATAGTGACCTGTGCAGGATAAAAACCCTCAAAGTTCTCTTTGCAAAAAAAAGTAAATAACCCTAGCTTATTGCATTAGATACTATATGGGATTTTACCTACTGTTCCTGAGGTAGGAGAGAGCCCTTTGCACATTATTTAAGAATTGCTGGGATAACTGTGCATGGCAGCTCAAATGCCTGAGGAATGCACATTTAAAGCAGGCATTTTACTCTAAATCCCAAACCCTCCAGTTTTATTAATGTGATCTCAAATTGGGAGGGGAGGTAGGATTTAGCATGAACTTGCCTTGTATGATACCTGAGTGACTAGAGAAGTGAAAGAGGCTTACTCTTCAAATGTTCTTGAAAAACAACTTTTTGTAACTTGATTTGGTTTTTCTTTCTCTTTGCAGTGTACTGAAAGAATTTGAACAGGTCCCCAGCCACCTGACAGAGGAGCTGCATCTCTTCTCACTGGATGATCTGGTGAAGATCAAACGAGGGCAGTTACTGCCCCTTCTTAAAGATATTCTGAAGAGCTCCACCTCCCATGTGGATGGTTGCGAGGTAAGGAGAAGCCAGGGCTCTTAGTGTCCTTGTAGCTGCTAGCATGAGGAATATCCCTGCTGACATTCCCAAATAATTTTTTCTTAGATTAAAAGTAAATCGACTCTTTTGCTGTCTTTGTAGCTCTGTCAAGCGAAGGGGTTTATCTGTGAATTCTGTCAGAGCGCAGATCTGCTCTTTCCATATCAGATTGCCAAATGCAAAAGGTGCACAGGTATGTTCCAGACCAAACATTTTTCTTTATTCCTTCGGGGGATGTTGGTGCATAAAACTGTTGGGACTTATTTTAGGAAAACATTGAGAACTTGCTTTACTGAATGCATGTGTATTTGAAAACCGTGGATAGCATGTATCTTTGAAAACCAGCCTGTGGCAGCTGTCTTGCATCAGTGAATTCAGAGAGCAAAACCAGGGACTTGTCTGAACATAATTATGGCTGCAGGGGGAGGCTATTTTTTGGGTCTACGCATGAGAGAGCACCTGGGACAGTGTTACACTGCTGCTATATCAGATCTTCCCGATGTTCACTGTAAATCTTGCGAATCCTACGAAAATCTTTAGTCATAGTTATTACAGTGGTGGTTGTTTTCCCGGCCTTGCACTGCTTCTGTTTACTTTTATACTTGGGTGAATTAGATAGAACATCCTTGAAGGAACACAGCTATTGATTAGTTTTTTAATTTGTTTTTTCCTGAATGTTAAACTGCTTGTATGTATAAACAGAGTGCAAAACATGCTTTCACAAAGCATGCTTCGAGTCTGGAGGCTGCCCCAAATGTCTGCGGATTGCAGCTCGGAGGACGCTTTCAGAAACTCCATCACTGGTGCCTCCGTGAAACTGGATTCCTCTGATGACTGCTGATTTCAGAAGATGCTCAAAGCCAAATCTTCAGGTGCCTGACTAAGAATTAAATAATGTTGTTTTAGACATTACTATTTTTAATGTGTCTCTCCTTTATGGGGGGTTAAAAGAAACAAAGGGAAAAAAAAAAAGAAAAAGAAGACTTTAATATTATTGAAAACTCACCCTAAAGGTGAGTTTCATTGTAAGGATTTTAAGGAGTTTCATCTTAACTGGTGACAGAAAGACTGGATGTTAATTCTGTGAGCAGCCTTTTGTTACTATGTTTTGTCCTTGTATGTAAGATTTTTAATATTGTATTTTTCCATATAAAAATTATTCTTCTCTGTAATTCTGCAAATAATGTATAGACGGTAAATGAGTGTTGGAAATCCTTACCTGTGTCGGATTTTGGAAATAGGAAAAAGTGGTAAAGTACAAAATCATTCTCTCAAAAGCTCTACAATAGAACAAGCTTGTCTGCAAGCTTTAGGCAGATGCTGATCTGAAATTCTCTTCTGGTAAATGCTTAATGTGAACCAGTGGATTTTAAGTTTCTTTTACACAGATGTATGCAACAGCTTGTGGTGGGTTGACCTTGGCCTGCTGCTAGATGCCCACCCAGCTGTTTTCATTCCCCCTCCTCAACAGGACAGGGGGAGAAGGTAAGATGGAAGAGCTCATAGGTCAAGATCAAGACAAGGAGATCACTTACCAACTACTGTCACAAGCAAAACAGACTCGAATTGGGGAAAATTAAATTTATTGCCAATTAGAAATTGAGTAGGGTGGTGAGAAACAAAGACAAAAACTAAAACAACAACTTGCCCGTACCTCACCCACCCTTTTTCCCAGGCTCAACTTCACTTCTTCATTCCCAACTCTTCTCCCCTGCCTCAAGTAGTGCAGGGGGATGGGGAATGGGGGTTGCAGTCAGTCTGTAACAGTTCCTCTCTGCTGCTCCTTCCTCCTCACGCTGGTCCCCTGCTCCAGTGTGGGTCCTTCCTGTGGGCTGCAGTCCTTTAGGATAAACCTGCTCCTGCATGGGCTTTCCAGGAGACATAATTCCTTCAGAGAATCCATGAGTTATATATATCCACGTGGTCCAGTGGGGTCATTTCCACGGGCTGCAGGGGAATCTCTGCTCTGGTACCTGGAGCACCTCTTCCCCCTCCTTCTTCACTGACCTTGGTGTTTGTACTGCTGTTTCTCACTTCTCCCCCCTCCCCCCCATGGTGTCTTGCCCTTTCTTAAATACATTTACTCAGGAGTGCCACCGTCTTGGCTGAGGTGCTCAGCTGCGTCCTGCGGTGGGTCCATCGGAGCTGGCTGAAAGCAGTTGTGTCTGGCATGGGGCAGTCCTGGCCTCTTCACACAGAGGCCACCCTGCAGCCCCCCACCGCCAACACCTTGCCACCTACACCCAGTACACCACTCTAGAAGTTTCTTTCCAGAGCACTTAGAAATGTGAGGAGAGGCAGTGAGCGAGCAGGAGAGATGCTCCTGTTTAAATCCACCCTCACGCTTGCAGACTGAGTCCTTGCCTAAAGGTGAAGTGCTGGAAGTTGAAAGCAGCTTTCTTTCCCAGCCTGGTCGGTTACTTCTGATGAAACTGGCTGAGGAAGCAGCCCCTGTCTTCAGAAACCCAGAACAGCTGCTTGAACCTGTAAAAACATTTTTCTGTTTGTGCCACATATGAAGTACGAATGAACAGAGAAACCCCAAAACTTGAAAGCACGTACCCAAGTTCTGATCTCTACAATGGGGTGCTCTTAATATTTTGAATTTGTTGTTCTCGTTTTGTGCTTTGTTCTTCCTCTCCTCACCTGTTAGCTTCAGCTTTTAGCAAGGAAAAGATCAGCTGTCTGTTACCAGGGTCTGTGTAAGTTCACCTCCACACTAATGCTCACAGTACTAGTAAGCTCACTAACTCTTCCACTTAGCTATTTTTTCTGTGGCCAAAAACAGCTTACCTACTTACTGCTCAGAAGCAAGATTATCATCTCTTACTCAAGATCACCAAACGGATACTGACGTAGGTTAAGACGTGGTGAGAAAGAGCCTTATGCAGCTGACTGTATTTAATATTATGCAAGAGTAAATTCTCATTTAAGTTGGGTGCACGACTAACTGAATCACATGAAAGGCCTTGCTGTAGGGATTTTCTGCTTACGAAGGAGCTCACCTGTATAATCCTTCTGTGGGATAACCTGCAGGGCAACTGAATACATCTTTTTCACTATTCATTAATTTAGAAGAGCTGATCTGGTTTCTGGCTGTGCTTTTCACAAATATTCAAGTCTCACTAAACAGTAGTGGTACGCAGGAGGGGGAGCATCAGAGAGTGAGTTTCCTGCATCAAGTGTTGATACTTTACATGCACTCAGTTCTGTCCAGGTCTCCATAGAGCCTGTACAGCTTATCCTGACTGATTATTGCTATGTACCACAATGTATATCGCAGCAAGTGAAGATCCTCCATGAGTTTGAGTAGCTGGCGGAACGCGGAAGACCCAAGAGGATCAGCACGCCTATAATCCAAGTAAAACTAGTTAAAATGTTCTGCTGCTGAAGCTAAAGTAAGAAGGACGAAGTTGTGAGGTGCCAACAGGTTGGTCACAAGTTGGAAGGAATAACGGAGGCTGCTATTTGCTGCTTTTGAGGCGGTGGTGCTCTTGACTATTAGGTCTGGAGGAGGGTCATACCAAAACCACGTTCTTGTGTGCTGGTGTCAGCACAAGATACCACAGGAACATGCTGCGACCATTCACCCTGAACCTCTTCTCTGGTGGGAAGCAGGGCATGGGTGACTAGACCTGCAGCCACAAGGTGTTCTCAGTGTTGCTGAGGTGAGAGTTTCTTCTTATCAGCTGCTATCCTGGGATAGCATAAAGCAACCACAATAAAACTGAAAGCATGCACTGTATCTTCCTGTATTTGGTGATAAAGTGGCTTGGACAGGAAGGGGTCACTTCTGTGCTACAAACCCTCTAGGTGTCTTTAGGGTGTAGTCGTGTTCTTTGAATCAAGTTTTGAGACTCATTAAGCTGCTTAGATCAATACTGTGCTCTTCCTGAGCATCTCTCTATGGATAAGTACCGAGTTCGACCATTTCTGAGGTTAAACCAAGTAAGGCAAATCCAAGATAAGAACTTTAAGAAACAAAAGCTATATGGCTACAGTGAACTTCCTTGCAGGAAGTAAAACCCTACATGTGGAAGCTCTGAATGCTTTGAGAGGAGAAGACATAGAAGGGTTAGGCTGTCTTACCAAGGAGTTGGGCCTGTTCAAAATAAACTGCCTGCTAGCTAGAAAGCTGACTGTGTTTCACAGAGGACAGTGACAGGAGACAGGACTCTTCAGCTAGGGAAAGAAAGGGAATTGTCGCCCCTTTCTGTTTGCCTGAGCAATGAGGACCAATGCTCATTCTTAACAGTGGGTTTCCATGATGCCATGTGGATGCAACAGGAGCACCTCTGAGGACCCTACTGGAGGAGCACTCTCAGGGGCACGAGAGGCAGAGAAACCTATTCCTAGTTAACTGCCTGCCTCACTCCACAGGCAGAATTCAGGTCAAAACAGTTTTATTAGTAATTTCCATAGGAGCAGGTTTTCAAAGGAACACAATACCAATTTCTCACTCTTGCTGCTAACAATTCTACCTGCTTGCCCACTAGTTATTTCTTTATACTGATTTGTTGTATTTTTCCTCTTAGTTTCAGTTGTGAGTTGTCTGGAGGTGGAAGTGCTTTGCTAAGACTTCGTACAGTGCGTTGCAGCCAGGATCTTTCATGATACATTATACAGCTGTTGCTGTAAATAATAGAATAATACTAATTGCCAGGCGTAGTATGGACTCACAAATACAGGTCTTGTTGCAACTGTAAGCAAGTATGTCAAGTAATTAAGTAGTTTTATGGGCGCATATAATTCCAGGGATGTCTGTCACACCCATTCACTTTAGGAGAAGCAAATATCTCTGTTTTATGAGAAATGATATTTTGCCTGGTTTTGCACACAGAGTACACAACCTCCTTCAGCAGAAGTCTTTCACCTCTTGATGTGCCTATTTTCATATTTTTCATTTTTCTAAAGGAAATTTACCACTATTTCCCCACGCTTGCTCTGTGACTGCTGCTTGATACAGTTTTCTTTTAGGCCATCAGTCCAAATACTCTGAAAAACACCTGAAGTCTTCTCTCTAAGATACCACTTGTACTTATGTGGTTCAGTATTGACATAATCAGTGGTATCCTTTGGTCTAGAGTATTTGTCCTCCCTCGCGATTCTGAACAAAGCTACAAGACCCTTTCATTTTGTACATATAAGTGCCATGTTTGATCACATGTTGCATATCTGTCTGACCACAGACTGAAAAGTCTTCCGAAGATTGCAAAACCAGGACGTCATTAAGGGAAATCTAATCAGTAAAAGAGGGAAAGGAGAGGTAAGGAATAGATTTACAAGAAAGGTTTGGGTAGCATACACTTTAGTGGACTGTGGAGAGAGCTGAGCAAGACTGGCAGCAGTAAAAGCAGCTCTGCACTGAATAAATCATCCATCCTGTCTACAAAGGATGATGATATTTTACATTTGACTAGATTAAAAATAAAAATGCAGGTTAAATCTGTTATCAGTAAATTAAACTTCCCCAGAACTGGTCTCTGGTACTGAAGGCAGATGGTGCAAGATGGGCCAAGTTCAAAACACTCCATGCTTTTGTTCGCCATGGGGTCGCCAAATCCAACATGCCTGTTGTGAATGGCCCCACATCCATGCTAACTCCTGATCTGTATTTGCTGTCATGAACTGGTGAAAAGGAAGCCAGGCACCAATGGCCTGGATCCCATAAAAAGTGCTGAAGTTGGGATTAAGGAGGAACTGAGTAAAAAAAATGCAGTCTTATGGAGGCCTTAGTTAGATGGTCCTTTCCAGTAAAAATTTTTCCATTGCCTGGAGGTCTCTTCTTCCTCAGACCCAGAATTGCCTTAGTCTG